CCCCCCAAAAAAAAAGGCATTCCTCTCACCCATTCTGTATCTCCCCATGGAGCCTGGCCTCATGATGTAAAAGCTTCCTGGGTGTTAAAGAGACAGAGGAAATGTTGGGGCCTGTTGTTAGAATCCACACAGCCGTAGAGAGCTGTGGTCCCAGGTGAATGTCCTCTTGCCATTGAATTTGCTCTTGAATCCACAGGTTCTAGTCCAGGGGAACAAGGCATTATTGGTCCTAGAAGAAGGAGGAGGTTCCAGGCCTGGGAGATCATCATTTCTGGCAGCAGCCTGACCTGAGATACCTTGACCGTATCTTCTGGGCAGGCCCAGAGCAGACAGAAGACAGAGCATATCCTGGAGTTTCTAGCCCTTTTTAAGAACAGGAGAAAATGACCAAGGCCCAGGTGAGGTTTGTTGTACCTTTCTGTCCTTTGTTTCCCAGTGGATTTGTGGAAGCTTCTAACAGACAGTCTGATAAAATGAGACAGTATATGTTGATAAAAGTCAGGATCTGTTGGAAAATAAGTCTGGGTTATAATCTTCAAATCTGGGTAAATTAGGAAGCAAGGGATATATACAGGTCCTAGGGTCCATACAAAGTCCTTAAGGATGGGAGCTAAATGGCTGTATAAGGCCTTGTGGGCTGCCTTAGCTTTGAATTTGTGTCTCCTCCTCTTGGCAGCTGTGGTACTAAGAAAAACACGAAATATTACATGATTTGCAGTGTCCGTGAGGAGAAAGCAAACCATTTCTTCAGGGAAAGTAATCTCATTGCTCAGAGAGTCTAAGAAATTTCTTTCCTAGCTCTCCAGAGAGATTTTGTGGTAGACAGTGTCCTCGATATCAACCATGTAATAAAGGCATAGGATGCTTCCTTTGGCTTTTTCTCATCGTGTTCCTCAGCGTAAGCTCAGGGGGTAATGCCAGAGCAGAACTGGATTGGACAGAATTCTTCAAAAGCAGCGCACCTTGACAGTAGAACCTTCCAGCAGTCCACACTTTACCCAGGAATAAAGCCTGAATTATTTATTTATTTATTTATTTATTTTTTTCAACGTTTATTTATTTTTGGGACAGAGAGAGACAGAGCATGAACGGGGGAGGGGCAGAGAGAGAGGGAGACAGAATCAGAAACAGGCTCCAGGCTCTGAGCCATCAGCCCAGAGCCTGACGCGGGGCTCGAACTCACGGACCGCGCGATCGTGACCTGGCTGAAGTCGGACGCTTAACCGACTGCGCCACCCAGGCGCCCCAAAGCCTGGATTATTTAATAGAATGAATGGGCTGCTTGACCTTTGAGCCATTCTCCATGAAGAATTCTGCCATTTGGCGGAAGACAGCTAAAAGTTCCATTCTTTGATAACAGCTTGGAATACAGATAGTGACAATGCTCCCTGTACACCTTTTTGTTTGTTTGTTTTCTAGGGAGAGAAAAAGAGAGAGAGGATGCACCTGCACGCATGTTATGTGTGAGAGGAGCAGAGCGAGAAGGGGAGACAGGATCCAAAGTGGGCTTTGTGCTGACAGCACGGCCCCTCCTTTATACCTTCTTTTTTAACTTTTTAAAT